TGATCGAGAGGTCGGTTGCAAGCATTCATCAAGGAGACCCAAGATAGTCCTGCAGGCGTCAGCAGGCCCTAGCGTCCCCTCATATGTTCTACATTTCTATTTTACTTTCTTTCGAGACAGATGTACTTTTCTTTCAGACCGGTATTTGTAGTAATTCGTAGAAAGTTCGTGAATTATGACACTAGTTTCTGGGTGGTAACTGTTTCGATTTTGTAATAGTATAAGGATAATTAGAACTATGTACTTTCGCATTTATTTCTATTCGAATTAGTTTTGTTAATCTTAACTATAAAATGTAAAGGAAAAGGCGAATATAACTCTAACGTTGGTTTGCTTAGCGAGTGCGATATTAAGCACTATCACAATTCTGACAGTGGAAAATTCGGGCCATGACATTAATATAATTGTTGTGTAGGCTTTTTTTTGTGTATTTAATTCATTTGCTTGCAACATTGAGCATTCATACACCTTAGGGGTGGACTCCCTTCTTAGGTGCTTATAAATCTTTGCATATGTAAAAATCTATATATATTTCAGAAAATAATTATTTTTAACGGTTTAACAAAAGTATACGAGTTTACAAAATAATTAAATTTATAAATTATGTGTTTACAAAAAAAAATATTAAAATAGTCGTCAATCCACCACTAGTCACAACATACTTCCTACGCGGTTTATATCCTAAATACTGAACCTCAAACCCTTAACCATGGATCAATAGACGTTTTTCATGGTCGATTGTTAACTATCGGTTGTGTACTCAACTTCTATACAAGCCAAGTAGAAACTATTAATTGCTTGTTGATAAAATTAGTGATTAAACTAAATTTTTGCCATGAAATTGATAAAATTATAACATTTACACATGTTATTAATCATGTTATGACATAAACTTTTATGATAAATAGACATTTTCATATTACCACTAAGGATTTAGTCATTTTACAACATGTAATGACTTAACCATGTATTATCAGAGTAGATATTGCGAGTATAATATATAAAAGTATTGACTGTAGATCTGCTTCACAAGAGAAGCAGTAACGTACAACAACAACAACCTAGTGAAATTCTATTAGTGGGGTCTGGGGAGGGTAGTGTATACGCAGACCTTACCCCTACCTCGAAGGGGTAGAGAGGTTGTTTCCGAAAGTCCCTCGGTTCAATAGAACAAAAAGACAAATGTAGACAATATTAGTATCACAACAGAAATCATAAGAAAAATAGGAACAACATGAAATCCGGAAGAAGGATGCAAAACAAAACCAATAGCTAGTAAATAGATCTTGCACTGAAAAATAGTAAGACACAACATGCCACTAGCTATCTTAGACAAAAACCTTACCAGACTAGTCTCACAGAGGTATTAGTAAGGCAAGACTCAACTACCTCCTAACCTACAACCTTAATACTCACCTCCACAACTTCCTATCAAGGGTCATATCCTCGGAAATCTAAAGCCTCGCCATATCATGTCTAATCACCTCTCCCCAATACTTCTTAGGCCGTCATCTACTTCTTCTCGTTCCCTCCACAACTAGCCGCTCACACCTCCTTACCGTAGCATCTGGGCTTTTCCTTTGAACATGCCCGAACCATTTGAGTCTCGCTTTCCGCATCTTGTCGTCAATGGGAGCTACGTGCACCTTTTCCCGAATATCATCATTTCTAATCTTATCCATCCTAATGTGCCCGCACATTCACTGTAACATCATCATTTCTACTACTTTTATCTTCTGGATATGTAAGAAGAGAAGCAATAACGTAAAAAAGAAGAAATCACGGATAGTAAAAGGAAAAGCAGAAAAAGCAAAACAGAGAATGAACTTACACAACTAAATTGACTATTCTTTTCACATAAGAAAAGTGAAAAACATGTGATCTCGAAGAGTAATAATAAGACATAAAAATGCTGCGTTGTAGCCAAGGTAGGATAAAGGGGCAACGCTATTCAGATTTAGTAAACTAAACTCAATTCTAATTTATTAAGATGTTATTTGATTCATTTATTGGTGATGCAAGGTGATAATAGGCTATATGCATATAGTTTTGCGACCATTTATGTCCCAATTTAGTTACACTTTATTGTTATATGAAGGCTAAGTGACAACAAAAGGCTCTAATTATGAATTTTGTGCTTTGCAGGAGCAAGTCTTGATTATGAGGACATTGAACAGTATTTGGAGCTAATTTGGAGCAAGGAAAGTCAATCGGTGAATGCGCTTGAAAGAAGAAAAAAATAGAAAACAACTGAACTTCATGAGTGCGGGTCAAGAACGGGCGCATTGCAGCCGCGCTCGTCAGGTAGAATAGAACGCGATATGCGCGGTCCAAGCGCGGCCGCGCTCGTCACCTCGAGGAACATTATTTTCAAGGGTAATTTCATAACTTCGAGGGCAACTCTCCTTAACATATAAGAAGCCCAGGTCGCCCAAAGAGAGGGTATCAAAGTTTTTGAAGGATTATTGAAGGCAAGAAGAGGCAAGAGACAAGGCGGAAGATTCGGCATAGAGTTTTACCTTTTTCCCTCTTGTTTTGATCATTAATGATGAAATTTATTATTGTTATTGTAAAAACGATTATGCGTAGCTAAACACTTAATCTAGGGTTTTGATGGAACCTCTTGGAGGATGAATTTCTGATATGTTAATATAGATTGCCTTAATAATTTCTCTGTTTGTTCAACTATATTATGATTGTTGTTGATTGAAGGGCCCTCAATCGGCTGTGCCTATTTAGTATACATTACTCGTGAGAGAGTGTATATTTAGGTAGTTGTTGAACAACACCACTCCTAATGTATATGAGGGATCAATACGAAGGATTTAAAGGTGGGATTAGGGATAACGAAACCTTGGGTGTGATCTAACTGAGCTGTAATTAAAGCCAGCTAGCGTAATTCGGGAAAATATGTCTAGTATATTATTGTAATTACTCGGGAGAGAGTTACGACAATCAGAGTGTTCATGATCGATAGAGAAGACCGAGGCAAATTTATAGCAAACATAGCGGAAAGGATTCCGACAAGAGTGGAAATTATAACCTTAGACCATTCTCATTCTTGCTTACAATCAGTCTATAGCTAGTCTTAATTTACTGCATTTTTATTACATAATATTTAGTTAATAAACAACCAAACTGTTAATCAAATATCTCTGAAGATTGAATACTTGAATTTCTGTGAGTCCAATAGTTGTGATTGATAGGTTAATTCCCTGTGGGATTCGACTCCGGACTTGTTAACCGGAATATATTTACAACGATCGCTTTGTCCTTTTTATAAGGCATAGTTGGGCGTGATCAAATTTTGGTGTCGTTATCGGGAAATTAACAGTGTTATTGATTGCAGTTAAAAAGAAGTGCAGAAATTTTTTGTGTAGTCAATTTTCTTCAATTTAAACTGATCATTGAAATTCTAACGTTTGTAGTCGTGGTTGTCATAGGTGCATGCCTATAAACTCTTCAAGATCTGGAAAATTGTTCGAAGCATTATCAGATCCTTAGAAAGTGTTTAAGGCATTGAACCGTGCAAATAGGAAAGGCAAACAACAACAATACTCAACCGAAAGAATTGAACCAGACATGGAAGACGATAATCTAAATAACAGGGAGAACGTGAATGACCCAAACAACAGAAACAACGCAAATGACCCAAATGATCAGGGTGTGGCACCTCTTATGCCAGAAGCAGCACTATATGATTGGGCACAACCCACATCTGACAACTTATCAACTGCTATTGTAGTCCCTCAAATACAAGCAGACTCATTCCAGATCACAAACAACATGCTACATCTGTTGCAAAACAAGGGACTATTCTCTGGGTCATACGTTGAAGATCCTCAGCAGCATCTAAAGAACTTCCTCTCAATCTGCGCCACGTAGAGACAACACAATGTGACACTGGAAGCAATACGTTTGTTGTTGTTTCCATTCTCAGTGATAGGAGCAGCCCAAACTTGGCTTAATTCACTCCCTATCAAATCCATCACTACTTGGGAGGAATTAGTCAAGCAATATTTGAGCAAATTTCATCCACCTAACAAAACTGCTCAACAAATTGATGAGATATTGAATTTCAAATAGAGACCTACTGAGACGCTGCATGAAACGTGGGAGAGATTCAAAGGTCTCCCGGTTACATGTCCACTTCATAGTGTCCCGGAGCAGATGTTGGGGCAGAGATTTTACATAGGTTTAGCAGATACTTTGAAAGCTAATGTTGATGCTTCAGCAGGTGGAGCATTTTTTAGCAAGACATTCAGAGAGAGAAAGATCCTATTTGACAAGATGGCACAAAACTCAGGATGGACAACAAGGAACGCTTCAATCACTCCTGTGGTTCATTCAGTGGCTCTAGACCCAGCTAACTCCATAGCTGAAAATATGGCTACTTTGATGACACAAATGAGCATTCTCACCAAAAAGGGGTGGAAGAATCAGGCCAGAAGCAGCAGGTATACATAGTTGATGCAACTAATAGGGGTCTATGCACATCATGCATTAATCAGCCATATATCTGCTCATGGAGTGATGAAGGTGATAATCAACAATATCGGGAGAACATGAATTATGTGGATAACTACGGGGGACCAACACCAGGTGGTCTGAATTGGGGTCAGCAAAATCAACAGTATAGACCAGCTCAGCAGCAGTACAATAACAGCAATAATCATGGGGCTATGCGACCACAGGGGCAAATGGTACCTTACCAAAGGCAACAAGGATACAACCAGCAAAATCAGCAGCGGGCTTATCAACAACCTCCACAACAACAGATTATGAGACACGACGATGGGTTTGCTAAACTCGGGGGTATGATGCAACAAATGATTGGGTTCACTGGAAAGCTAGCTGGCAGAGTAGACTCATATGAGTCAGTGATTAAAAATATTGAGATCTAGTTAGGACATATTTCCATGGCCCTAAATAATCGTTCACATGGGACGTTACCTGCAGACACCCAAATCAATCCAAAATAGCAGGGCCTGAAGCAGCTGATGGCAGTGAGTCTCCAAAATAGTAGGGACTTAGATTTGGAGCAAGGAATTGCTCGCGAAAGCAGGCCGACTGAGACACTGGTGCCAGTACCCATTGAGATAGATGATTCAGCAGGTTTAACTAAGGTGACGGTACAGAATGCGCAAGAAAACACCAACAAGGAAGACGTGGTTGAGAAAGAGACTGAAGATGCACCGGAACTGACAGTAGAAGCAGTTACCGAACAAGAGAAAAACCAAATTACAGGGAAGAAGCAACCTCCAACACCATTCCCACAGAGATTGGCTAAGTATCACAAAGATGAGCAGTACAAGAAATTCTTGGAGATGTTGAAGCAGATTCAGGTAAACATTCCATTGATTGATTCTTTAAAGGAAATGCATGGGTATTCAAAGATGATGAAAGACTTGATGTCCCGCAAGTTTGACTTCCAAGACTTGTCCATGGTTATACTGACTCAGACTTGCAGTGTTGTTGTGACAAAACCTATAGCTGAGAAGTTGTCTGACCCAGGGAGTTTCACAATCCCTTGCACAATAGGCAATTTTGCATTTGCTAAGGCACTGTATGATCTGGGAGCAAGCATAAACCTTATGCCCCTAGCTATCTACAAAAGTCTAGGCATTGGAAGAGCTAGACCTACGTCTATGCTACTACAGCTAGATGACCGAATTGTGAAAAGACCCTCTGGGATTCTAGATGATGTATTGGTGCAGGTTGGGAAGTTTGTGTTTCCAGCAGATTTTGTCATCCTTGATTGTCGAGTTGACGAGGAAATTCCCATAATTTTGGGAAGACCATTCTTGGCCACTGGGAGAGCTCTAATTGATTGTGAAACTGGAGATCTCAAAATGAGATTAAACGATGAAAAGATAACATTCAACGTGCAGAAATCTATGCGCAGACCCAGTGAATTCGCCAATTGATCTCTAATAGATGTGGTGGATATAGTGTTGGAGGAAGAAGATGCAGCATTGAACATTAAAGACCCTCTAGCAGCTTGTCTCATAAACTTAAACGAAGCTAATGGTGAAAATTTGGCATAGTGGGTACTTGCTCTTGAAGGCCAAGGTTTTTGGGAAAAGGGAGCTTGAATTTGAGCCTTTGCACTTGGAGGAAAGAAAAACTCCTCCATCTAAGCCATCAATAGAAGAGCCACCAAAGCTGGAACTGAAGCCATAGCCATCTCATCTCAGGTATGCATTCTTAGGACCTGATTCAACTCTACCTGTTATTATCTCATCCAGTTTGTTAGATGTGCAGGTAGAACAACTTTTGCAGGTACTAACTAAGTACAAGACTACAATTGGGTGGACCATTGCAGACATTAAGGGGATCAACCCAGCCTTCTATATGCATAAGATTCTGCTGGAAGATGGGCACAAACCTTCCAGAGAACATCAAAGAAGGTTGAACACCAACATGAAAGAAGTGGTGAAAAAGGAAGTGATTAAATGGTTAGATGCGGGAATCATATTCCCCATCTCTGACAGCAACTGTGTTAGCCCAGTGCAGTGTGTACCAAAAAAGGAAGGTATGACGGTAGTGAAAAATGAGAAGAATGATTTGATCTCTACACGAACAGTCACAGGATGGCGAATCTGTATGGACTACAGGAAGTTGAACTTGGCCACCAGGAAGGACCACTTTCCACTGCCATTCATTGATCAGATGCTCGATAGATTGGAAGGGAGGTCTCACTTTTGCTTCCTGGATGGGTACTCGGGGTATAATCAGATTTCTATTGCCCTATAGGATAGAGAGAAAACGTTGTTCACCTGCCCTTATGGAATTTATACTTTTCAGAGAATGTTGTTTGGCCTATGCAATGCACCCGCCACATTCCAAAGGTGCATGATAACCATCTTCATAGATATGGTAGAGGAGAAAATGGAGGTTTTCATAGATGACTTCTCAGTGGTGGGGAATTCATTCGATGATTGCCTTGTGAACTTGAGGCGAGTTTTGAAAAGGTGTATAGAGACTAATCTAGTACTCAATTGGGAAAAGTGTCATTTCATGGTACAAGAGGTATAGTCTTGGGGCACCTAGTGTCAAGTAAAGGTATTGAGGTGGATCGTACAAAAGTTGATGTGATAGAAAAACTTCCACCACCCACCTCAGTCAAAGCAGTCAGAAGTTTTCTTGGTCACGCCGGTTTCTATAGGAGATTTATAAAAGATTTTTCCAAAATTACTAACCCTTGTGTAAATTGCTTGAAAACGATCACCCTTTTGTGTTTTCTGATGACTACAGGGTAGCTTTTGAGGAATTAAAGAAGAGACTGGTGACAACACCTATCATAGTTGCCCCCAATTGGGAGCAACTATTTGAACTGATGTGTGATGCTAGTTACTACGTTGTGAGAGCAGTGATCGGGCAACGAAAAGATAAAATTATGCACCCAATATACTATGCAAGTAGGACGTTGAGTAGAGCCTAACTAAATTACATTGTGATAAAAAAGGAGATGCTGGCAGTGGTGTTCGCATTTGACAAGTTCAGGTCTTACCTGATAGGCTCAAAGGTAATTGTTTATACTGACCATGCTACTCTCAGGTAATTAATTGAAAAGAAGGAGTCAAAATTGTGTCTGATTCGATGGGTGCTACTACTGCAAGAATTTGATTTGGAGATCCGTAACCGAAAGGGAACGGAGAACCAAGTAGCTGACTATTTATCCAGGTTGGAAGGAGCTGAAAAGAAGGTTGAGGTAGAAGAGATTCTGGAAACTTTTCCAGATGAACAACTACTAACAATGAGCGTCAAGGAAGCACCATGGTATGCAGACATTGCAAACTACCTGGCGAGTGGTATTGTTCCTTATGACCTTTCTTCTGTTCAAAAGAAAAAGTTCTTTCGTGATTGTCGTATGTATTATTGGGATGAGCCTTATCTGTTCAGGATTTGTGTTAATAACATGATCCGGAGATGTATCCCCAAGATAGACCAGTCTTCTATTTTGTAGGCATGTCATGCATCACCATATGGTGGGCACTTCGGGGGAGTGAGGACAGCGCGAAAGTCTTGGAGTCAGGGTTCCATTGGCCAACATTGTTCAAAGATGCACATCTATGGATAAAGGGTTGTGATGAATGCCAACGAACTGGGAACATTTCCCGTAGACATGAGATGCCCATAAACCCAGTTCAGGAAGTAAAAGTGTTTGATATATGGGGGATCAACTTCATGGGGCCGTTCGTCAGCTCATATGGCAACAAGTACATACTTATCGCTGTGGACTACGTATCCAAATGGGTGGAAGCTGTAGCACTCACTGCAAATGATGTAAAAGGGGTAATTGGTTTTCTGAGGAAGAATATTTTCACCCGATTTGGCACCCCAAGAGCAATAATCAGTGACGGAGGCACTCACTTTTGCAATCGAGCCTTTACTAAGTTGTTGGAGAAGTATGATGTACGCCACAATGTAGACACCCCATATCATCCACAGACAAGCGGGCAAGTGAAAGTCTCAAATAGAGAAATAAAGAGTGTGCTGACAAATACTGTGAATGCAACTAGAACAGATTGGGCAAGGAAGTTAGACGATGCAATGTGGGCATATCGAACCGCTTTCAAAACTCCAATTGGCATGTCTCCATACAAATTGGTATTTGGGAAGGCGTGTTATTTACCCGTAGAGTTGGAACATAGAGCTTGGTGGGCGTTGAGACAGTTGAATCTTGATAGTGAAGCAGCTGGAACAAATAAAGTAACAGAATTGCATGAGCTGATGAGTTCAGATATCACGCTTTTGAGAGCACAAGATTATACAATGAGAGAATAAAGATGATACACGACAGGAACATTATTGAGCGAAATTTTAAACCTGGGGATATGGTATTGTGATACAACTCGCGTCTGAGGTTGTTTCCAGGCAAATTGAAATCACAATGGTCAGGCCCTTTTCGTGTGGTTGAAGTTCACCCCACGGGAGCAGTAGAGATTGTTGCGAGTAATGACTCTCACACATTTAGAGTAAACAGGCATAGACTGAAACATTATGTGGGCATGGAGGAAGCAAAGAAAGTGTCAGTGACCCATTTGATCGAGCCTCCAAAGTTGAACGTACCTTAAATGTGCTTATCTGTGTCATACCGCGATGTTAAATCAGGCGCTTCATGGGAGGCAATCCATTGAATTGTTATATTTGTCATGCCACGACACTAAATAAGGTGCTGGTTAGGAAGCAACCCAATGCGTAATGAGTTTAGTATAGTTAGAATTTTTTATTTTGATTTTTTTAGTACTAACAAGTGCAGGTGAGCTTGGGCAAGTGATAAGTCCATCTGACGCTGAAGGAAGAGGTAAAATTTTGAGAAATCTTGAGGCCCAGGTGTGCGGCCATGCATCAAATGCGCTCAGACCGCGCATAATGCAGTGTATTTTGCCTCAGGTTTTCGCCCAGGAGCGCGGCTGTTCTCAGACCGTGCATATGGCAAAGTATTCTATTTCGCAAGCGCGGCCGCACTCGGGCCACGCTTGTACCGTTTCGCCTGCCACTTAGTTTAAGTTATTTTATTTATTTATTTTGCTCTTAATTAAAAATAAGCCCCACCCAAACCTGCTCCCCCCACCTCTCTCTCTTCTCCTTACTCATGCCTAACATCCCCTCCCTCACAAATCAAAACACTCACCTCCCCTTTTCCCACCAAAGAACCCCAGCCCTAATACTTCCAAATTCCAGATCAAAGCACACCCACGCCACCCTATTTTCCCTTCTAACAATCCCCTCACATATCCTAACCACAATCCCGCCAGGTAAGGTTTTGTTTTTGGAATATTTATGTTCTTGTTGATGTAGTAGTTTTTCTTTCCTTTCTTTAGTAGATTTTTTTTTGTAGTGTGCTCTTGTATGCTAGTGGATTTTTTGAGGTTGTTGTATATGTATCTCTTAACATATGTGGGTGACATTGAGGAAATTGTGGTGGAGTTTGGGCTTATAAATTTATTAATTGGGGACTCCGGTGAATGGTGCATATATAGTGTTTGTTAAAATGCCTCAGTGTGTTGTTAAGGTTAATTGTGACCAATTGGGCGAATGAAGTCTGAGTAACCGCCTTTGATTCATATCTTTTGTGTTTCGCTGATGATGTTCTTGATTTCAGGTACTATGGCACCTTCCAGGAAACGCCGAACCATTGGTGCTTCATCCAGCGGCCAAGCTGGATCCTCCAGAGCGCGCGCTTCCGCTCCTGCTCGTCCTTATGATAGTAACAGGTTCGTCTCCGCCGCAGCTCAGGACCGTTTTGCTGATAAGGCACCCAAAAAACCAATATCAGAGAGGGGCATGGATATAGGGTCGCTCCAATATGGTTGTCCCAACTTGTACAATGAGTTGGTCAAGTGTGGGCTGAAAATTTTCTTTGAAGAATCGGATGACGGAAATTTGATGGTTGTGCGCGAATTTTATGCCAACGTTAAATAACATGTGAATGGTGTGGTCACGATGCGCAAGAAGAATGTGGACGCCTCTGTTGAGGCTATTCGGAGAGCATACCGGCTCCCCGCACCTGTGGCGGAAATGGACGACTATTATGAAGATTATGGTAGACGATACACTCAATGGGAGTTATTCTTTGAAACAATTTGTGTGCCTGACAAGGAGATTATGTGGATGAAACATGGGCGTAAGTTCCATTCAGCGGCACTCACCTTTGAAGGGAAGTGTTGGTTGTATGTCATCAACAACCGACTGCTCCCGTCCTCCAACACCATGGAAGTGAATGATTCTCGAGCTGCATTGATTTGGTGTTTTATGAATGGTCACAATTTTGATGATGCTAAGGTTATTCATGAGGAGATGTTTACTCGGTGTCCGGTGAAGAGGTATGGTTTCTTCTTCCCTTTCCTAGACACTAGGCTATGCCGGGCAGCTAAGGTGTCGAAAACTTGAGTGTGGATGGAAAAGTGCCGAGAGAGGCGAAGTTTCGAGTGGAAAAGGTAACTACTGGGAAGTAGCATGTGGCACTTGGTGGTGATGATAGTGATGACTCAGATTCACCTGAGGAGGGAGAGGATGAGCAAGAGGAAGCGGGAGTCGAGTCGCCCACCCATGAGCATGTTGCGGAAGCTGCAGGACCATTCGGGGTCGGTCGGGTTACCTGGTTAGCAGCCTTAGAGCAGGAGATGGCAGGGATGCGAACCACTGTCGCAGACTTGGGGACGCGAGCTGATGCTTTGGCCACCTAGAATGCTAAATACGAAAAGAAAATCATGGGTTGGCTGCGTGCTTTGGGTCGAGCGTGTCACCTTGACCCTGGCACTGTCTCTGATCAGACTGATCTATTAGGGAAGTTTCTTTACCTCGCATTTATTTATTTTGTATGACATGGGAACATGGCATCTTTTTAAGTGTGGGGTGGGGATGCTTCGTTTGTATGTTGTATATATGTAGGAACATAGTTTGATTTTGGTCTCTAGTTAGCTTGATTTTGGTCCTTAGTTAGTTGTCTAAATATGTGATTCGACTTGTCCCAACGATGGATATCACTCGATGGGTTTCTTGAGGGTCTAAGTCGATATAAAAAAAAGAAAAAGAGAAGAAAAGATTTTTTTGTAGGTAGTGTATCAATTCCCCCTTAGTTTTTCTTTGGACTGCGGTTCTTTTCCAAGGGTGTAGTTAGTTTTTTTGTTATTGTTTTTTTCATTTTTTAGGTATTTATGGCCTATGAGCTAAGATGGAAAGAGAATCTCTTAACTTTGTTACACCTTGAATATAATAGATACTTTAGTGTAACGCTTAGTCTCAGTTGTTGATTCTTGTTAAAGTGCCTTAAATTGTATATTCTTAACTTGACTTAAGTACTCAAACGAGAGTGTTTTGATAAGCCAATCTGGAGTGAGTCATGTGCCATGTGTGTGTGAGATTTATTGTATTCTGTGCACTACATTTGATGCCTAGAACTTGCCCAGTGTGTTTGGAAAGCGAAATAGTAGTTTTATTCAGTCTTGGAAGTGATGTAGGTGTTTCTTTGTTGAACCAGATATGTATATTTTACCTGCCTAATTGTTATGTACCGTAGTTAAACCCTTTGAGCCATGTTTCCTTGGCAACCACGCTACAAGCCTCACCCAATTGTTTGAATGAATCATTTGTTTGAACCTTTTCACCTCCCGTAAGCACTTGAATTGTGATGAACTAGTAAAAGTTAAAGTGTGGGATGATTGGTTTGGCTTTTGAGTGGAACTAATGAAATTAGGAGAAAGGTGCACGGTTTTGAATAAGTAAGAATCACTTGAATGAGAAGAAATTTTTTTTTTTAAAAAGAAAATAGTTACATTGTTGTGAAAACAATATATATATAGTGGCTCTTGGTTAAGTGTGCTTAAAGAAGCAGGGAGTTAATATATATTGATGTAAAAGGTGGAGTCTTGGTTTGACATAAGTGTGGGTTATGAATGTGAAAGTATATGTATTAAAGTGCTTAGGGAGGTGGAGTCACTATTATATCCAAATGTATCATACCCGTCCCTTAGCCTACATTACAATCAAATAAAGTCATATTTGATCCTAGACTGAATGAGCTCAATTAGTAGAGCATTACACTATGGGCAAGCCTACAGTGCATCTTTTGTGGTATATGAATGTTCTTTTCTAAGAGTGAGTGAATTTTGTCTATTTGAGTTCCTAATTGTTCTGAATGTTTATTGCTTGTGGAACTACTCTCGTTTGTGATGTGAGTGAACTTGATTCATGAAGGAAATGTACATCTTGACCTCTGTATAGAGTAAGTGAGTAAGTTAGGAATATTGTGCGGCATGTGAGAGTCAACTCTTGAGGCAAAGATGTTACACTACTGGACTCAATCCTTGCAGTATGTTCTTGGTGTGATACATTAGAGAAGTTGCTTAGTGAAGGAACCTCTGTAGAGTATGGTTGGTTGTTGGGGGACGAGCAATGGTTTAAGTGTGGGTGTTAATAATAGTCTATATGCATGTAATTTAGCGACCATTTATGCCCCAACTTAGCTATGCTTTATTGTTATATGAAGGCTAAATGACAACAAATGGCTCTAATTATGAATTTTGTGCGTTGCAGGAGCAAGTCTTGATTATGAGGACATTGAACAGTGTTTGGAGCTAATTTGGAGCAAGGAAAGCCAATCGGAGGTGAATGCGCTTGAAAGATGAAAAAAAATAGAAAACAACTGAACTTCATGAGCGCAGGTGCGCTCCAGCCGCGCTCGTCAGGCAGAATAGAACACGATATGCGCGGCCGCGCTCGTCACCTCGAGGAACATTATTTTCAGGGGTAATTTCATAACTTTGGGGCAACTCTCCTTAACATATAAGAAACCCAGGTCGCCCAAAGAGAGGGTATCAAGGTTTTTGAAGGATTATTGAAGGCAAGAAGAGGCAATAGGCAAGGTGGAAGATTCGACATAGAGTTTTACCTTTCTTCCTCTTGTTTTGATCATTAATGATGAATTTTATTGTTGTGATTGTGAAAACGATTATGCGTAGCTAAACATTTAATCTAGGGTTTTGATGTAACCTCTTGGAGGATGAATTTCTGATATGTTAATATAGATTTGCCTTAATAATTTCTCTGTTTGTTCAACTATATTGTGATTGATGTTGATTGAAGGGCTATCAATCGGTTGTGCCTATTTAGTATGCATTACTCAGGAGAGAGTGTATATTTAGGTAGTTGTTGAACAACACCACTACTAACATATATGAGGGATCAATACGAAGGGTTTAAAGGTGGGATTAGGGATAACGAAACCTTGGGTGCGATCTAACTGAGCTGTAACTAAAGCCAGCTAGCGTAATTCGGGAGAA